TTTCCCCCCCGCCGCGCCGCGGGAGCGGAGCAGGGACCAGCACCGCTCCGCCCTTGGGCTGCTTCTTAACGCTCGAAGCGCTGCGGGCGGGCAGAGCTGGAACACAGAGCAGCGGTGGCCCTACGGACCTAGAGTTCGCGGTCCAGTTAACTGTCCTGCGCGTTATCTCAGCGATCCGCCTGGCAAACAAATGCAAAAATTCAGGCAGGGTCAGCAGAACTTCGTTTAGAAAGGTTACGCTTAAAATGCGCTCCTGTTAAAGCTTTTTCTTACAATTGCTCTTCGGGGCAAGGATTGCGTAAGAAGTGGCTTTTTTCATGGATTTTGGGGGCTTTTTTGGAAGCGTTTTTTCTTGCTCACTGACTATATAGCCCTTTTATTTTAATAAATCAGGCTTAAGAGAACATGCAGAATCTCCTAGCTCTGCATTACTTGCTGAGATGCCTAAGCAGGCAAATTTTATTTGATTTCCAAGCAGGTATGCACAGCAAGAGCCTTGATTTTTAAATTTCTAAACAGCAAATGAAGAGTTAAAAAACCCAAAACTGCGTTAGTGATCCACACTGGAATATAGTAGCGAGCCGTTGACGTCTTTTGCTAAACGCAGTGCTTCTCCTAATTCCAGTCTGCCGAATCCTTGTAAACAGAATCTATGGTATGGCATCGTCTTGAGTGGAATACGGGGTCGACATAACGCGACCGCTAGCCAAGCGAGGGGGAATTCAAGGATATCTTGGCTGTAGGTAGTCCGGCTTTTCCCTGGCTGACAGCGCAGTTTGGAGACCAGCCAGGGAGCGTTGGAAGCTGCCAAAGGAATTGCCGCTGATTTTGCCCTTGCAGTGAGGAAAATTGGGCAGTGAACGAGGAGAGCGTTGGGGGTTCTCAAGCAGAAACCCTGACAGTTGAGGAGAAAATAGATTGGGGAAAAAGGACCCCGATTTTATAAGTCATTTTTCAATGTTTTAAGAAGAGATTTTTCTTCTCTGCAGCACGCTCCCTTAACTTGAAGATGCTGTACTTTCTGGGTTTGGCTCGTACAGCAGCCAGCCTTTTCCCTTGATAGCTGTGTGCCACATCCAGCATTTTCAGTTTTCCAGGGATATTTATAACTCAAAATATATTCTGCTAGGTGCAGGCTCCAGCTCTTAACCTCATTTTATTCAAATACAAGTCGTCAATTGCTCCTTAGTGTGGCAATTGGGTGCCTTTCCTTTAAACTTCCTCTTAGGGAAAAGAACTCCCTGTTTAAATAATGTAGTTATCTTTGTCTCCATGACTTAGCATTCTTGGGTCAATAACAGTCACAAAATGTTAGTCTTAATGGGAGTGTAAACTTGGCACTGAAATAAAGTAATCTTTATGAGGGTATTGTATAGCTGAAAGGAATGCAAATTTCTTGAGGGAGGAGTGAAATCGGGACCTTTTTGCATGTAGTCAATAGACAAGTAAGGCCTCGAGTTGTTGCTCCCATTTCTTCTCTGCTTACTGAAAGTGGAAATGAAACCATCGTTATACTCAGCACTGCGTGTTTTAATCTTACGCAGTTTTATATGTTGGGGTTGTGCTGTTGTTGAGATATTTCATTATAACTTCATGGTAAGCTTTATGCCCACTGTGTGCATGGGAAATAGTTTTTATAAAATGGTGTTTAAATATAAGGCAGGTGTTTTCCAAGCTTTAATTTTCTTTCTTTCTGTCCCTCCCTGTGCTTTTTTACATTTAGTGCTGAGAGGCAAAATGGTCCATGCTGAAGCATTTTCACGTCCCCTGAGCCGGAATGAAGTGGTCGGATTAATTTTTCGTTTAACCATATTTGGTGCTGTAACATATTTTACTATTAAATGGATGGTTGATGCCATTGATCCGACCAGAAAGCAGAAAGTAGAAGCTCAGAAACAGGTAGGATTTTATTCATAAATATTTCTGTGAAACGTTGTCTCGTTCATTACCGATCATACAGAGAAATCTGCTAACTGAAAACTGGACTTGCAATAACCAATGAAGTAATCGACAGAAGCATGTGGGATAATCAAAAAAACTAGAATTATTTTTTAGTAAATCTCAGGATCTAGGCTGTTAGTGTTTTCAGTGCTTACATTTTATAACAAGTTAAAATTTCTAGCTTGAAGTGGTGGAAAAACTGTTTAACTGTAGCGCAATGTTGTCTCTAATTATCTGCAAGTGTGTGGTCCCAGTGCCGTTTCTGCTTCTGACAACTTTGCTAAGCAGCAGTCGCGTTAAATAATGCTCTCGTCAGTCTCTTGGTTGCTTTTTAAAACCTTGAGCAGAAATAACTTAATTCTCTGCTGCTTTTTGACAACGTAGTGGCAGAGGCAGGGACTGTAGTTACTCGTGACAAAGAGGAACGCTACTGTCCAAATGCCTTTTTAAGAATAGCTTGCACTTTGTCCCTCTCCCTCTGTTCTCCCCCCACCTCCAGTAGCAGTCAAAATGCCCTGGAAAGGGGAGAAAAAACATGAAAAGCCTCATTCCTTATGTTGAACTAGAATGATTCATGGGAGTTAATGCTCTGGGAAAAGATTTAGGTGCATTTCAGAACCAAAAGTTAAATGTTTCCTTTGGAAAGTATTGCAGGAAATGTTGCAACTTTTTTTTTGTTTTCTGGCTGACACAAATTTCACAGATTCAAACAGCAGTTTTGAGCAACCTAGTTCTGTTTTGGATGGCTTTTCTTTTTTAATAAAATCTTTAGTTAAAAAATTGGCCCCACTTTAAAAATCAGCTTTCACAATCTGTGTTAGTGCCAGCTATTATATAAGAGGTTGCAATATCCCAAAAGCATGTCAGACTTAACCGCAAGTTTGAGTATAAAGAGAAACTGAATTGTGAAAGCGTGTTGACACAACAAATGACTTTTCCTTTTAAATTGGGAAAAAGAAAACATTGAATACATAGAAAAAATTGACTGGCTTCTGTGAACTATCTCCCATTAAAGTGTGTGTGTATTATTTGCAGGGTTGTGAATGAAGGTGGTTAAGCATGTGAGAGAACTCTAGAGTTCTATTTAACAACAAGTTTGGGGCTTTTCATCTGAATCCTGTACAAAGTTTGTAAGGACTAATGGGCTTTTTTAGAGTGTAAAATACCTGTATCAGCTTTGGAAACTCCTGTAGAGATTATGGAAATGATTTTGTACTGAGGTCAGCTGTGTATCTGCAAACCTGTTCTGAACAGCTAACTCTGTGTTTTAATGTTTATTTTGGTTGCTTTTCAGGTCATAATGTATGACTTGTGGATTTGGGGGTGGGAGGGCTGGTGTGACACTTATTTGATGGGAACTGAGACATATGACTTAGTTTCACTCAAGTGACAGCAAGTCATTAGGAAATAGCAGAACCTTCTACTTCAGGCAGATTTAACCTCTTTTCAGATGTGACTTACGGAAAAGCTTTTCAGACTGCAAATAGCAGCTCTTTAAAAACTAATTTTTGAATTAAGCATTCAATTTCTTTCTCTGATTTTCTTGGCGTTTTATTTCCCCCAGGCTGAAAAACTAATGAAGCAAATTGGAGTGAAAAATGTCAAGCTTACTGAATACGAAATGAGTATTGCTGCACATCTTGTAGACCCACTTAGCATGCATGTAAGAAACTGTTTTCCATGTTACTCCGATGAAAGCATTTCAGACGTGGAAGATCTTGTTTTTGACTTTGGATTACGTTATTTGTCGTATATATGTATCTATGGAAATACATAGAAAATATTGCTGTAATTTAAAACTAAAGTTGCGTCATGGAGAGCAGGGTTTTTTTAATCACTTGTCTTTTTTATTTTTGAGGCCTTGCACTACTTTTAAGCTTGTGGATATTTTTTGTTGGCAGGGACTATGATGATCATTTCTAATACTGTTTTTCCGTATTAGGTAACCTGGAGTGATATTGCAGGCTTAGATGATGTTATTACAGATTTGAAAGACACTGTCATTTTGCCCATCAAGAAGAAGTATTTGTTTGAGAATTCCAGGCTCTTACAGCCGCCAAAAGGTAGGAAGGAAATGTTATGGATTTTTATGTTGGTATTTAAAAAAAAAAAAAAAAAAAGGTTACAAAATTTCAGTATTTCTTAAGAGAGATTAATTTAGATTTTCTGGGAGGGATGGAAATAGAAAATGTAAAAAACCATTTTGGTGGTAAAAGAGAACAACCACCTGCAATCTTTTGTTATTTCACAGAATAGGTTCCAGTGAATGGAACTACTGAAGAATGATTGGAGATTTATCTTATACCAGTCTGATTCCTACACTGCAGATCAAAGCTGAAGACTACTGTGTATCATTGCCCTTAAAAGCAAAATGGGGCCTATAAAAATACATTGTAATTAGCAGGCTCAGCTCTACCTACCTTGACTTCCACGACATGTCTATCTTTGCAGACACCAGTGGAAAGCTCAAACGAGGCATGCCACCTTAGAGACTTTCCTATTCCTTTTTGTGGTTTGTAGTAAGTAAAGGTTAATTGTTATGCTTTGTATTTCCCAAGAGAGACCAAAGAAATGTGGAGAAGTTCAGGTGTCTGTAAACACAGAAGTGTGTGGAAACCTGTGGCAAAGGTGGTTATTTTGCTAGCCTTACCCTTTGTGTCCTGTCGTTCTCAGCACTGTCCTTCTGACAACATCCTCTGAAGTATTCATAAAATTATTTCACAGGATGACAGAGTGTCACAAAGGCTAATTGACTTGTGCTGCTGCAATGATCCATGGCTGTATACATACAGACAGCATTGTTTCCAGCCAAATGTATACACGCATCTGCAAGTGGAAACTGGGATTTGAATTCATAACCTTTAGTTCCCAAAATTCAGTTCTTTATCCAGAGAGTTACAAGAGCAGCTGTAGTCACATAAAAATACTGCTATTCATGAGCATGTTTACCCTGTTGAGGTAAAGAGTATAGTGCATTTTCACTTTGGCCAAAGTGACATATTTCCCAGGGAAATCTACTTCTGGAAAAATGACACAGTTCCTTTATGGTTTTTTGGGTATCTGTTCATGGCTACAACTGAACAGCAGATACTGGAGTCAGACTGAACTGTCTCAGAATTTTTTGTCTCTGTGCCTCAGTTCCTAGTCTTCTCTTTGTACACCCTACTCTACCCACCCCTGTGTTTTGTCTGGCTTGTCTACTAGACAGAAATACAGTTTACAAGTATATTAAAGCTGTTTAAATTTAAGCACTACTCACAGTACCATTACTGACATTTAGTTAATAAAGATAACATGTTCATAATTGTTGTAATGTATCAGGCCCTAGTAACAATTAATTTCTAAGCTTTCTATCTAGTGTAATACTTCAGTCTAAGGAGATCCTTTAGGATTTAAATATGTATTTAGAAGGATTTTTAATGCTTATACTTTTAAATTATATAATTAGGGATGTGGAGGATGTGTTTGCAAAAACTTACTGAAGGATTATATTAACATACTCCCTGTTGAGGCAAGATAGCCTCACCTGCCATACCACCTGAATAAGAAAATCCCTGTAGTTACAGAAGCAATGCTAGTTACCTTCAGTAACTTTTTCAGAAACCAGGAGAGCTATTTCTACAGGGCAAAAAATACGCAAGAAGTGTTTCAAGTGTGCTTTCAAGAACTATTCAAAGCATTTTTTCTGGTTTTAGCACACCCATTCTATGGTTTTGGGGAAAACACGATTACCATAAAAAACACTTTACAGGACTAAATGGCTGATGTCCAAGGATCTAGATCTCCATCCCACGAGCAAACAAGAGGCATCCTACTTATACATTCACTCATTTCAACTCTTTTTCACCTCTGTGCACAGCCCAAGATTCACACTTGAAAACAAGATGTCCCCATTTGTTCGCACGGAGGCACAGAGATGCCTGCTTTTAGTGACCTGAATGACATCTTTTGTGGTGACGTGACACAAGGTAAAACAAAATCCTTCAGCCAGTGTAAGAGAGGTGGTGCCATTTCTTTCATGCTTTTCTCAATATGGTAGTTAGGGCCTCAATGGGAAAGAAAAGGATTTAATGTGTCTTTCTGATGTGGAATACTGCATAGCCAAACTAGAACACAGGTCATGACACTGTAACATGACATAGAGATGTCAGAAATGAAACATGAATCCACATCTTACTAACACTGCTGATATAGCTACAGTGGTGACAAAAAGAATGACAGAAGAAAATGAGAAAGGTAAAAATCAGCATAAATACAGACCCATCCCAAAGAATCAAATCCTTTCAATATAAAAAATGGATTGTGTGCTGATTTTTATATTTTGCAAACAGAGAACAGCTACAGTTCTTTTAAAAGCACTCAAGGAGATGAATCAGATTCCTTCAGAGTGTTGTTATTCCTATTTTTAATAAAAATGACACAATGTGAAGTGCACATATCTTAGTTTTGCTTTCTATAGTATAAGTGCAGAATAACAATCATGAAATTAAATTGTGCTTACTGGCTTTTATTGCCTTTCATTTCTAAATAACCCAAAGCATTTTATACACCAGAAGGGTTAGTAAGACCAGGAACTCAGCAACCGTCAGTGTGAAGCTGCATGTAGTGACACTGCTGCTCAGGACAGGAAGCGTGAATGCCATAACCAACAGATACTGAAATTTATGAAGATAGACTTTAATTACCTAAAAAGGCTCAAGAAGGGGCAGGACTGCTACTCTTACAAAGAACCTTATCTGCCCAAAATGACACCTCTAACAGCACAACCCACTTCACAGCTAAGGCTGCCAGATATTTTTTAACTCCTTTCATTTCCTCTTGCACATGTATATGTTGTGATGATTTACCATTCAAATACAAGCCTTTTCCAGCTTAATGAAATCCAGATTGGTCACAGCACCAAGATGGTACCAGCTCATAAAATATAACTTTAGTCCTTTTTTCTTCAAATAAAGGGCAAAAGGCTCTACTTGCACCTAACACCAAACACTGTATTCAGTACTGGATCAATTCTTTTACTGAGGTATTTTTTGAATGCAATGCCTATCCCTATTGCATAGTGATTACAAGTAACGGTACTAATGCATTGTATAGCTCTTCTATAAGCACTGGGAAGTGTAGCTAAATACCAGCATAAAGGCTGTGACAAATGAAGTGAGAAATGGGGAGAAGGAGTGGGGGGGAGAAATTGCAAAAAGAAAAAAATAATCAATTTTAATAATAGCTTGACAATTAGAATTAAATAATCCAAAGCTCAAGCTGACCATTTTTGTTATACACTGCATGAATGATGTTTGTACTTTGGAACCTTTAAAATATTTAAGCAGAGAAGAAATGAAATGAACTGCAACCCGTTAAGGTCATCCATTTAGGACAAAATTGATAAAATATTAAAATGAAAGAAATAAATTTTCAAACAGAGATACTAAGGCTTCATAGAGATGTATTATTCAAAGCAGAGGAATATGTGTGACCTCTAGGCTATTACATAATGGAGAAAGGATACGACAGTTCAAATGAGCAGGAACTATAGGCAGCAGAGACAGACAGGGAAGATGGATTAACCATTCCGTAAGCCAGTGCTTTGCTTCCAGGGTACTGAGACCAGACCCCTGTATTAAAGCATTACATTCTCAGAGCCAGCTCTTGGACCCCACTATTATATTGAGCTTAAAAAAATTTGGAAAGATCATGGATTTTAACTACAGATTGATTTTGTGTCTAGCTGAGCTTGTTCATTCTCAGAGGCTGGGATTTAAAGCAGGGGTGGTCCTGGGCTGCTGAGTTTCAGTGCCTCAGCTTCTTCTGAATCCTGACTTTGTCCTTAAGCGTCTTTTGTAGAATGGTCTGCAGTCACGACGGCATGGGCTGGCCAAGGTATAATGTATCATACTTCTCTCTTTCAGTGGTCAGCTTTGCTGTCTGACACCCAGCCTTCTCCTCATTCGTCTCTGCCCTATCAGGGCTTGAAGATGCCCAGTTTACGCTTTGGACATCTTCAAGGAAAGTAGTCTTAAACTCTAGCAATAAATTCTCCTTTTTTAATTTAAGGCCAGAGCCAGTATTTATTATACAGGGTTTATTATAAAATGGGGTTTTGCAAGGATCTCAACTCTCTTGTATCTGAGATATTTGGGATGAATATTCCCTAAATGAAGAAGTAGCTGCCTGAAACAAGAAGTATCTTTAAATCCCAGTGAAATCTGTGTGAGAGTAAAGACTTTGCTCCTTTGAAAAATTAATTTCCACCTAGCAGAGGGCCCTTGCCTCCAAGCTCAGTGTTGTGATGCAACTCCGTTGCTCTCCTGTTGGCAAAAGGTAATTCAATATTCATACAGCCAGAAATGCTGTGCCTAATATAAGGTTTTGAACTGCATGTCAGGGGCCAGGTGTCAAAATTAGGTAACATAATGCCAAAGCTTTTTCTTGGACATAGATGAGCCTCCCTAGAGGATATACAAAAGCATCTAAAATATTATGAAAACAAGTGTCACTGACAGTCATTTGTGATCTTAAGTCCTCTAAATGTTTTTGATCGTCTTCCCATTTTTACTCAGTTGCAATTACTCCATGTGAAAAATAAATCTTCGCATTTGCAGAGGAAACACTTATTTCTAACTCTCCTTCTGAAACTAAGTATAAACATTATTAGCTTGATTTTATAGCTGTCCTAAGTGGCGAGATAGGGACCGTTTACAAATGAGGTTCTATCAAGGATGTAGGTGTAACCTATGATACTAGTTTTCTGTTCCTGGCACTGCAGCAGGCTTCTCTAGTGACCCTTGGCAAGATGTGCAGTTACCTCACTGGAAAACGGAGATAATGGAATGGGTCTGGCCTTTTGGAAATTGTATGAACACAGTCCTCCGAAGGCCTAAGGAGGATGGAGAATTTCAGTGGAAAAACCGAGGCATGAGTCCTCGGCCTGGCCCTGTACCTCAGGAACATTTTGGAAGAGAATGGCCATTGATTATATCCTAGAGGCCTCTTTCAATTTTCAAAGGTATTTTTAAAACAGTTTTTTTTTTTAAGAAAAGGGATCAACAGAGCTCAAAACCTCAAT